CATAGGAAGGAGCGTGCGCTCCACTGTTTGGATGTGGTTCGCGCTCTTCGTGTTTATTTGGACACTACGGCTTCTTTCCGCGAGACCGACTCCCTGTTCGTGCTTACGGAGGGTCCTCGTAAGGGTCGGGCCCCGTCGGCGGCTACCATCTCTAGGTGGATTCGTACTGTTGTGACTCAGGCGTACGCCATTAAGGGGCATGAGCCTCCATTTCCTGTCACTGCCCATTCTACTAGGGCTGTTGGGGCGTCCTGGGCTTTCCGCCATGGGGCCTCTGTTTCTCAGGTTTGTAAGGCCGCTACTTGGTCTTCTGTTCACACCTTTGTTAAATTTTACAAGGTGGACGTGTTCGCATCGGCGGATGCTGGTTTGGGGCGCAAGGTGTTGCAGGCGGCGCTTTGAGGGGTCTTTTGGGTGTTTTTGTTTGTTGTTGCCCATCCCTCAGTGTGTTACTGCTTGGTGACGTCCCTACCATTCAGGATCTACGATCTGTTGCCCTGTGTCCTTCAATGAACGGGAGAGAAAATAGGATTTTTGTACTCACCGTAAAATCCTTTTCTCTCCGTTCATTGAAGGACACAGGCCCCGCCCTCTTTTATGGGGTGTGCACTCCTAACTGCTTGTTACTTACTGGAGACTTGTCAGCAAGTGAGGGGTTGGGCCACCAGCAGGGGCCGCCCCTAGGCTGTCTTGTCTTTTTGTTATGTGCCTAGCGTCCTACTCCTGCAGGTGGCGATATACCCTACCATTCAGGATCTACGATCTGTTGCCCTGTGTCCTTCAATGAACGGAGAGAAAAGGATTTTACGGTGAGTACAAAAATCCTATTTTCTCTCTCTCCCATTGAGGGACACAGGAAGTCTTTGGTTAGAGTTTACTGCTGCCTATTGGAGAGTTGGACACTTGCAAACAACAAAAACTGGAGATCAGCCCAGGATAACTCCTCCCACTGCAATCATGCCTCAGTTATTTGCTGCTGTCCTGGGAGGATGGATGTCTTTTCTTAACCAGTTGACATCCGCGGTGTTAAACCCCCTTCCCATCCAGGCCATTTTTCAGTATTCAGCGCTGCGGTACTTTGACATTTATTCCGTCATGCAGTGCTGTACTGAAATGAATTTTATACCCTTTTTTGGGGACAGACAGAGCTTTCTTTTGGTGGTATTTATTCACCACTGGGGTTTTTATTTAGCGGGCGGACGCGAACGAGCACATATAGACAATCTGCGGGCTATGGAGCTGCTGATCGCCTATATGTGAAACACCCGGTAACGGGTGTGTGCAATGGTCGGGTCTTTTCTGCCCGTGCGTGCCCGCAGAAAAAAAATGCCGTCTGATGCTGCAGTGCCGTCCGTCCGTTTTTTTTTTTACTATGGGCGGACGGCAAGTGGTTAAGCTGTGCTATGTGGAAGGCAGCTCTATTTTTGCTAGCACCTTTTTTTCTTACATTTTTTTTTTCCTCATTCTGGACTCTTTTCTCTACATTGCTGTTAGACCTTGTCTCTACAGTTGCAGCCATCTAGCACAGCCATCCTTAGCCTGACATTTTGGAGTGCTGCATAGAGACCGTGCTGAATTGAATTTTTGCAGGAATAGCCTGCAAGTGACTTTCTGGCACTGGATTTTGCGCAGGGTGTTTTCTAGATTCTGTGCTGGTAAATGTTAACCCCAAAGCACTTTCCTGGTGCAGAGCCCCTGTCATTGGCTGAGCACTTACCCTGTACCTAAAGACTGACTTTAGCTTTAAATTTCAGTTGTGACAGTCTGCTGTCAGAGGCTTTTTCTCAGATGGGTCTCATGTCTATACACATGGGTAGGGCACAATAATGCTCTGGACCATGTGTGAGAAGCATTTGATCTGCATGGCCTTCCAAGGAACTACGTCTCTTTGCATCTACTCTTGATACTATATCAAGGACACCAGTGGTGGCAAAAGCACCCTTTTTGTTTTCAGGGGAAGATTCCTAAGGATTAGAGTGCAAATTCTTCTTCTGTAACTGTTGAGAACTTTTTTGTTGTTCATCCACTCTTGCGCCGTCTGTTAAGGCCCGTAGAACCTTGGCTACCAGTCGGCTTGCAAGGCCTGGCACTCAAATACTGCCAAATCCTCAAACAAGCCTTCCTTGGCATGAAGATGCACCCTCAATTTCCATGGGGAGGGGGGGATGTTCAACCTTCCCAGAAATTGGACAGCTTGCACCTCAGATGCTTGGGCGCAGGAGGTGGTATCCCAGGGCTTCAGTATTGAGTTTCACTCCCTGTCTTCTCAGTTTCTTACCTTCTACTGTGTCAATGTGCAGATTAGCAGACTCAATCGGGTCTTCTGGACCTAGGTGTCATTGAAACCATTTGGCCACAGGAACGGAGGCAAAGATTTTATTCCACCTGTTGACCGTTCCCGAACCAAAAAGGGACATCTGCCTCATCTCTGATCTCAAAGCCTTGAAGGTTATTTGAGTCCAGAAATTCTGCATTGAAACCACCAGGTCTGTTATCGCCTCACTTCAGGAAGACTTTGACTTCTGTGAACATCAAGGATGCATATCCGCATACCCCCATCTGTCCCGTATATACACGGTTTACTATGTTTTGCTGTGTGGCCCCTACACTACAGTTTGTGGTCCTGCCCTTTGGTCTCTCTTCTATATCTTGGGTGTACACCTTAGGTGTTAACCAAGATGCTGGCCTCAGTATTAGCCCTGTGTAATCTCCATTGCGGGATGCTTAAATGATCTCCTGTTGAGCAAACAGTCTGCGCAGTCTTTGTCAGACAACATTGCTTTGAACTGCTGCAACGTCTAGACCAGTGGTGGCGAACCTTGGCACTCCAGGTGTTTTGGAACTACAAGTCCCATGAGGCATTGCAAGGCTCTGACAGCCACAGACATAACTCCCAGAGGCAGATGCATGTTGGGATTTGTAGTTTTGGCACAGCTGGAGTGCCAAGGTTCGCCACCACTGGTCTAGACAAAGTGATCCTGAACCTTCAGAAATTGTCGCTGGAATCGAGTAATTGGTTGGAGTATAGGAGATTAGTTCTGGACACATCTCAGGCCAAACTTCAGATTCTCCAATCACTTTTTTTCATGAGTCCTAGGTCTGATGGTAGCCTCCTTCAGGACGGTTCTGTTTGCCCAGTTACCCTCCAGACCTCTACTATGCAACATTCTGTCATTGTGGGACAAGCCAATCAAGTCCCAATCGCTTTTATTGTAAAGCCAACAATCTGCTTTACAAATGAAAACAGTCCCGGCGGAGTTGGTTTAAACGGGCCCGGTGCCAGTGACGTACTATGGACGTCATTGGTCACTAAGGGGTTGATTTGGCTTTGTCACTCGGGCATTCCAGTGGTAAGATGTCTCCGCTGGAATTAATTCACCCTATCTCACCAGAGAATTAATCAGGCAGCTGAATGCAAGGGCTGCAACAGCTGGGTATAGCCGGAAATGCAAATGTAGAGATCTCAAGCCAAGGGTTATAAGACACCACTGGGCCTTTGTCCACCAAAATTAAAATAACAGGCTGATTTGGGTTTTCATGACTCGGAAGTGTAAGCTGTCCCCTCGCCCATTGTACAGGTGACTTTACTGCTCTGGAATTCTCATGTTTCAATTCTCTCTTGCAGCTATAATGGAGAATGGGATTCTGCACGTAGGGCACTGGATGATGTTCTGTACAGGGCACAGCTGGAACTGTTCCCAGAGCCTCTTCTGGTAAGCATAAGGGACTGTTCATTATGTTATGCCTTTTACTCCGCACTGAGCTCTTTACAGGCAGGACAAAGTTTTAATTTTATAGAAAATAAAATTATATCTTAATCCATGACATATCAAAGTGCCTAGCCAAATCGTGTGCAGACAGGTTATATCATACTTTGGTAGCTGAGATTTTCACGTGTTTGAGTGTGTATCCCCATAGAAAGTATATGTTATAGTAAACATGATGCTTAGGACTAAATTGTGGGATATTTCTTCTTCATATCATGTATTTAATTCCCTTCATTTATGTGTGTAAAAGCTGGCCGTACACTTGGCAATTTTGAAAGCTTTTAACTGGGTGTAAAAAAGGTGACTTAAAGTGATACCAAAGTCAGCAGTTAAATCTTAAAAATACATTCAAGTACCTTTTAACTATTCACAATACTGGACATTTTAAAGTGCATCACTCGGCTGTAGATCCTCAAATCATCACTGAATTGGTGCGTACACTGTCCTTCCTTCTGGAGGGTAGCTACTTTTGTTTCCCATGTGTGTTGTAAAGTAGCCACCACTCCAAGCTCACTCCCATTATGGACTACAATTTCAATACAAATTTGTAAACGTTAGATTGTATGTAAACACGGGAGTGAGCTTGGAGTGGTGGCTACTTTACAACACACAGGGACCATGGGGAACAAAAGTAGCCACGCTCCAGAAGGAAGGACAGTGTCAGCACCAATTCAGGGAGGATTTGAGTATCTACAGCTGAGTGATATACAAATAAGGTACGTTTTTGTTAATAGTTGGGGTACTTGAATGCATTAAAGTGACATTAAAGGCAAAAATGTTTTTGCCTCCAACACAACGTTAATGAAAGCACTTATCTTAAATCATGTTTCTTAACCCGATCATCTTCTTTCCTGTAGTTTTCAGCCTTCTCTCCAGCGCTGTGGCGAGTCTCCGATCCAGCGCTCACTCCTCTGTGATTGCTGGCGCTTCCTGTCCCACGGTGTCTGCATGCGGGTGCAGGCGCCCATAGACTTGTCTCTCTCCTCGCGTCTTGGCCAAAAATGTGAACTGCGCATGCGCCCGCCCCAAGATGCTTTGCGGCAGCCCGAGCGGTTTCACATTTTCGGACGGGTGCGCGCAGGGAAGATACAGGTAAGTTTAAACCGCTGTTAAAGCGTTTTTTGTTTTTGTTTTTTTTTACTTTTTGCATAGATCTACTGCTTGCTAGCCGTAGATATATGCAAAAGAAACCCATTAATTTTTTTTTTTTTTTTTTTAACTCCTGAGTTTAGTGTCACTTTAAAATTCAACAGCAATCTGCTACCACCTTTTTGAGGCAAAAGTTCCAAGATATGGTGCAAATCGACGTGTGACATTCACAGTGCCAGTTGAAAGGCATTTTTAAACCATTTCTTTTATTTTTTGTTTAAAATTTGTGGAATGGTAAAATGTACAGACATGTGTTTTTTCATTTAAAAGGTGCTGAAAATCTTACAAATTTGTCACATGTATGGCCTACAGAAGTATTTCTTATGGAGTAGCTTGTGTTCCATTACTGGAGCAGCACTAGCATTAATGCCTTTTTTGCATTGAACCGTTAACATTGGATTCTTGGATAACAAACACAGTGCTTCATGTATGTGTTCGTGTAGAAAATCAGTTTGCTATGAAACCTGTTTTTTGGGGGTGGTTTTTGTTCTCCTTTTGTAAAAACAAGTATCAGCTGAAATTTAGTTGATAACCAAAGGCCTGTACCAACCCTTTTCTCCAGTTTGTATGTACTGTATTGGGGTTTACCCCAACACACTGCTGGCCTGATTGTTGTCTATACACATCCTCACTCTGAACTGATCCTTCACTTTTTTTTTCAGGTTGCAAATGCAATAAAGGCTTCATTGCCCCAAGCTGCTATTAAGGGAACTAAGGAAGGCACTAAAAGTATACAGGTTGAAATTGCTCCAACCTCATCTAGGATATCTAGGAATGCTGTCACAAGTATGTCTATTAGAGGCCACAGGTGGAAGCGAAATGGTGAGAATTTTTAACTAGTTTTTTTTTTGCCTTAATGCTTCACCAAATACCACTTCTAATGAATGGTGAAAATGAGAACAGTGAAGTTACTTTATTCTAGTTACATGAAGCAATGCAACAGTCATTGTTTAAAACGTATAATCGATCATCTTAGAATTGGTTTCTCTCTTTGCCTTTTATGTACACTATAAACCGTGCTTCAGTTGCTCCTTGTAGGTAGATCATACCCCCACTTAAAGCAAATCTAAACCATAAGTGGGTCATGTTTAGCTAGCTAAACCACTGTGCATCATTAAAAAATGTCATAATTCATTCCAGCCTCTTTATAACTACTTCCTGCCTACATGCACTCACTACAGCAGTGGCTACATGTGATATCTCAGGGCAGGGTTCCTGTGGGTGCCGATGGCAGCATATGCCTACACAGTAGTTGTCCGCATGGCCACTTGTCGTTTCCATTGGGGATGGATGGCAGGGTAACCATGCAGGAGAGCAATGGGGAGACAGGGTCATAGCGTTTTCGCTCTATAATAGGAAGTGCCTGAACAAGGACTTTAATGGCAAAATCACCAAGTATTATTTTCATGAAAGCTGCAGATTTAAAAAAGATTGAACATGACGCTTGAAATTTCATTAACGTAAAAAAATAGGAGGTTTTAGTAATTGGGGTTACTTCTAATTTAACAGTACAATGCCAGTGCCTCTTCTGGTCGTTGAGGCTTTACCATTACACACTCCTCCAACTCAACAAGCATTGTGTTGAGTTGGAGGATGGACATGTAGTGTTGTCAAAAAATTATGCAACGCAATGATGCTTTCTGTGCACGGAGGTGTGCTGGTAAGGTGCCCTGGAGTGCTATTCAAAAAGAATGACCAGTCATGCGTTACTGTTTTTGCAGTAACATGTGTTTTACTACACGCTACTGTGGTGCATAAGTTTGAAATGGCAAGATGAAGCATTACTCCTGGGTAGGGGGGAAGCTGATCTCCAAGCCTGCTGAAGGTTCAGTCTGCATGCAGGCTACAGAAGCAAATAGAAAGCACAGAAATTGATTAGAGAATTATCAATGTACTTGCTTGTCAGTGCCTGTGCTCTGGCAGTATGGAAGTGGAGTTCTTGCTGCTGGGTCTCTTCAGGCAAAAGTAATTCTCACAACACGTGGAAACACCCAAGAGCTGTAGCTGGGCAGACCATATTAATATTAACATCAACCGTTTAAAAACTATGCTATGGGACTAACCCTCACGTTGGATACTTTCCACTTGCATTGCCAAGAAAATGTCCCATTACACAGTTTTCAGTTGTCATAATTTTTTATTACAAGGCTTTGTGTTTTTCTGGCAATACAAGCACACGTGTATCTTTTTTTTTTTTTTTTTTCCATTTCTAAAGAAGGATGAGATTGGAAAAAATTGAGTGAAAAGAAACTGCAAAATAATCATATTAGCATTGAACACCTTCGGTATTTGAGAACTGGGCATTGTCAGCCCAATCTGATTTGATATCCCATTTAAAATGGAATGCCACTTTTGTTAATAATAAAAACTGTGATCTATGTACATTACAAACATGTTAAGGTACTTTGTTGCAGACTCCTACCCCTTTCCCTTCTGAAGAAAAAGCGGTTTGTTTCACCATGTACTTTCCTGACAGATTCCTGAATTACATGGTCTAGTTTGTTATACCCAACTGTTGCACTGTCAGTGTTCTAATGAGTAACGTTTCAGTGCCTGCATTCCTTTAGACGTATTTAACCCATAGGAAGGATCTCGCCAAAAATGGCATCTGGGAAAATCAGTGAGACAGTCATACAAGCAGAAAATGACATTTCTGGGGACGTTCCATCCACCAAGGTTGCCATATTGCATTGAATTTGAACGGTTTTAGAAATTTACAGCGGCTTCAGATTGAAATGAAAAGGTAATTGTTTAATAACATTAAATTACAAAATGGCTTGTGTAGCAGTTTTACATGCTACATCCATTTTTTAAACAAGTGGAGTTCTTTTACCTGGGAATTCTGCTCCCCTCTGATGAAAAACACACACACTGGCACTTCTGACCATTCAACGATCATGGCAAAGTGTTTTGCATTCAGGTTAGAACAAGTGTTAAAAAAAAGCATTCCTTTGGAAACATTTAGATTTTTGCAATATGTTTGTTGAGAGGTGAGGGGGTGTGGGTAGAGCAAGCTTCAAAGCATTAGCAAAGCTTTAAGCGAACTTTAAGTAACATTGTTAAAGTATTTAAAGGATATTAAACACCGATACTAATGGTAGCGCTCAGTCTTACTAAACAAGTACCTAGCAGGCTCCAGCACCACTTGAAACATATTGAAAGTTTACTTAAGTCTGCTAGCAGCTTGTTTTAAAGTGACAGTCAGCCCTACCAATAAGTTTATTGGCTAACATCCGAACTGAAAAGGGTACTTTAAAGGCCCTTGCAGAGCTACTCTGAACTTGTCAGAAGTATTAAATGCTTTAGAAAAGCTTACTGTACACATTGACTTCATCTTGTACAAGAGCAATGTGTACAAGGCCTTAGGGCTGTGAAAAATAAACTATCCCAAACATGTTTCATCGGATGTGTACTATTGAGACCACAGGAGAGTAACAGTATATGCTTATTGGGTGGTAGCAGTGGAGTTACTGCAGGGGAGGGATCACTCCATCACATCTTGAACCCCCCCCCCCCTTTATTTTTGAGTCCTGACCATAAAATAAAAAGTTAATGGACATACACTCTACCATGTAACATGGCACCGTTTAGAAGGAATAAATCGGTCATACTGGGAGTCTTTCATGGAATCTTTTCTTTAATTTTGTAAATGGTTCTTCTGGTTTACGATGAAGTGTTTTTTGCCTTGGATACAAAGGTTTATCTAGTTGATAATCATAGGCTAATCCTCCCGAACACTGTCCAAGTCTTATCTCATGCTATTTTATTAATTGTGTCAGTGCTAAACATGCATTATGTAACTTCACATTTAAACTGGGGATTTTACTGCATTTTAAATAGAAGGTAGGCAAAGGAGAGCGGCTGTGGCATTAGCAATTAATCATAGACGACAAAAGCAGCAAAGCGCCACCTCCTTGTGTGAAATCTTTTTTTTATTTTTTATTTGAATAATAAAAACTGATATAAATACTCCCAATTATAAAATTTCAGTCACGCTTGTCAATAACCGCAAGATCAGTTAGACACTGTATTCCGCTCCGACTGCTTATAGACAGCTGCCTCCGGTCACATCACCATATCACCATACCATCGTGCCACCGGCTGCTTTTAGGCTGGATTTACCATGGGTGATTCTGAGGAAGGGGGTATGCCCCTGAAACGCGTAAATCCAGCCTAAAAGCAGCCGGTGGCACGATGGTATGGTGATGTGACCGGAGGCAGCTTTCTAGACGCAGTCGGAGCAGAACGCTGCTTAGACACTGATCTTGTGGTCTCTTATTGACAAGCGTGACTGAAATTTTATAATTGGGATTATTTATAACTGTTTTTATTATTCAAATAAAAAAATATTTCATATAAGGAGGTGGCGCTTTGTTGCTTTTGTCTTCTATGTATCTGGTGAGAACCACAGAGTCTCTTTGATGAGCAGCCTCTCCAAAAGCTGTGGATATTTACAAGAAAGACTACTCCTGGAGGATTGTGTGATGGTCATCATTGGCGCCAAGAGTTACATCGACTTTTTCTGTGACATCAGCAATGAATCATTTAGATCAGATGCTTTATTTTATAAAACTGATTGTGTAGCTCAACTTCAGGCTTGCGTAATAAGAAAATGCTCAGAGCAGTGCTGTTGGACTGTGTGGACTAAATCATGGCCAGTGCTTGTGACCAATACAGTCTGAAGTAATTGAGCAGATCTGACCACATTTGTGAGTGTCCAGTATATTTGTATTGCTTCTCTGTCGTATTACTGTAGGAACACGCACCTAATGTTGTCATGAAAGTTTTTTAGAGACACTTGTGTTCACTAGTTTCTATATTTTTGTGTTGACAGTAAGCCATGTGATCATTTAGAACAGGAGTCCTCAAACAAAGGGGCCAGCTCAATGTCCTTTGGGGGGGCCAGACTGGCCAGTGGCAGTAGAAAATTATTTGGCATCAGTGGGAGTAAACAGTGGCTCAGTTGGAAAGTTGTGGTAAGTTGGAATAGAAAATGAGCTAGTGCCTGTGGTCAGCGGAAGGAGGAATAATGCCCTATCATTGGTAACAATGGAAGGAATAGTACTTTGTTGCTGGTATTGTAAAGACCTGTGCCCCCCTAATTGTGGCAGTGGGAGGAATGTTTCTCATTATTGGTGTCAGTTGGAGGGAATAGTGCCCTATTGTTGGTCCCAGTGGGAAAAAGTGTGCCCTTTTGTTGTCAGTGGGAAGAATTATGTTCCATTGCTTGTGTCAGCTAAATGAAGTGTGGCTCATCATTGGTGCCATTGGGAGGAATATCGCCCCATTGTGTCAGTGGAGAGAATAGTGCCCCATTGGCTAGATAGACAAGCAAAGGGCCACATCCAGACTGCAGTTTGGGGGCTACTGATTTAGAATGTCAGCTATTTGGACTAAATGTATTTAGACTACTAGTTTTTTGTTTTCCCCGCTAAAACTATCATTTTTGGTTTATATTTTTCAATCTTTTAACCACAACTAATGTCTAGCTGGTTTACATTTGTTCATTATTCATGTAACATTTGTGTTGATGTTCATTTACATTACTTGTTTTGTCTCCAATCCCCTTCATTGTCATTTCAGCCATTGTCTTCCTTTTTTTATTTCCATCTAGAACAAAATGACACTAATAATGACTCAACAGACATGGGCAACCTTGTCATACCCGAGATTAGTGTCACCAGTGTGCCCGGAGACAGAACCGGCAATGGGGAGAGAATGAAACCACTAACAGATAATGATGTTCTTCATGAAAACTGTTCAGAATCTAGAACTGAGGGCAAACCTGAAATCAGAAGGCAAAAATCTGTAAGGAGATTGCTGGAGGATGGGATGTCATCACCTGGCAGAGTGCAGTGTTGAATCACTTGGTAGATGATGGGCACAAGGTACCTGGCAAGTGAAAGGGTCACAGTGCATGGGTGCACACACTAAAACGTAATAACTGCAGTCAAGCATGCGTATCTGTTAAGTAAAGAATTCCACCTGAAATGATTTATCTCTCAATGTGGGTATAGGACACCTGTGTTCTTGTTAGATAATGTAGAGGATAGTGGAGTCACCCTTGCAAGCCATGGAATTGGCCCTTCATAGGTCTTAATATCTTGTTGCTTAGTCTGTCTGGACCTGTTTCAGTCCAGAACCTTCACCATGACCCACTCAATAAGGTAGAAAATACCTTTTTACTGACTTTTTTTGTGTACATTTTTGATCGAAATTCTCTGCCATTTAAAGCAAACGTACACTTCACGTGTATGCATACCTCTGTCAGGTGTTTATTGCTCTTTGTCCACACTGGGCAGATTCACCTTCTGTTTGTCCTGCTGACCATTGTCAGTTGGGGGCAGAAAGTGATGGGAAATCCAACATTTTGCAGTTGTCACCAGAACAGGTTGTAAAGAAAAGGTCTCCAAGGGGAACCCCTGTTGCAGTGATCACTGTCTAAGAAGGGAATTCCACTTTAAAGGGCAGGATATGAATTGCAATGATTTCTCCTGCCTACCATTCCAATTTTCCCTGCAGTCCCATCCTGGTACTTCAGAGTTTGGGGCACATGTGGAGTTTATTTGCCCTCCCACAATGCAGTGTTCAGTCTAAGTAGAGGAGGTGGCTTGCCCACCAGTACTTCAGGAAAAGTTTGTGTTGGATTTTTCAGGGGATTGGCACTGAATCATGCATACAGTGCAAGAGGGTGGGGGTATTTGTCTTTCGTTTAAGGTGACACACTTGAAGCAAACTATTCGCTTGCTAAGCCTAGAGGATTTTGATCAGAAAAAAAAGTTGCATATTTTCTACCTTTTTATGGAGATGTTCATCTTCGAGTGATTGGGAGTTTTCGACACATGCACAGAACAGGAAATGTCAAATGATCAGTTCTTACTAGAGGTTCTCAGTAGGTAAGTGTGGTTTCACTACAAATGAAATGTCCTAATCAGTCAGATATTTGTTGGGTGGAGTTTTCATTAAAAACAGAGCATTCATGCTTGA